CACAGACTCCTAAACCTCATTTATAAAGTAAAGGAAATAAGAGTGCCAGCCCTTGGCCTGGTGCTTAAGGAGCTCAGTTTCCCCCACAGTCAAGATCTGAGTCCTGGACCTGGTGGCTTGAAAATTATGCTGCGCACGTGCCCAAAACCCAGAGAGGAGAATGGGAGAGAAGGGATGACGGTGAGACCATCCTCCCCGGAGGTGATCTCTCGCTTTCCCTCTCTCTGTCTCTCTCAGGCGAGTGCACGTAGCACCACATGCAAAACCTAAAAAAAAAAAAAAAAATTAATAAAGAAAATAGACTATCAGGACATCTTTTTAAAATAATTATCTTATTTTACTTCCTTTATTTATTTATTTATTTAAATTTGACCAGAGAGAGAGAGAGAGAAAGTAAGAAAGCAAGAAACCAAGCCACCAGGTCTGAGACTCGAACCGCGGTTGACTACATGGGAATCCAGCATTGTAGCCATTACACCAACTGCCTGCCCCGGTATAATATATGTTTATAAATTACCTCCTAAATCATCATTATAGCATGACATTTTTATAGCTAGTGTGAACATATTACCTGTTAGACCCCTACTTTAGCATGTATAGTAAATGCGAACTCCTCTTCTGTTACGGAAAATAACCCTACGCCACACTATTCTGTATGGCACTATGAGCACGTTGTAACCTTTTTTTTTTTTTTTTTTAAGATTTGTTTATTTTGAATTGTTATTTATTATCACCATTCTTCAGTTTTGACCAGAGAAAGACAGACAGAAAGGAGAGTGAGAAAGCAAGCTGCCAGGTCCAGGGTTTGAACTGTGGTCGTTCATGTAAGAGTCCAGCGCCTTGGGACCAGCAGTTAGTGTAATGGCTATGTTGCTGGACTCCCATGTAGTTGACCGCTATTCGAGTCCCTGGCTTGGTGGCTTAAAACTCACGCCGGGCGCGTGTGCGTGCGTGCCCAAAATCCCGAGAGGAGAATGGAGGAGAAGGGATTGTGGCGTGGCCATCCCCCTTGGGGGGTGATTTCTCGCTTTCTGTCTCTCTGTCTCTTTGTCTGTCTGGCGAGCGCAGGCGCCCTATAGCAAAATCCTCTCCAAAAAAAAAGGAATCCAGCGCCTCAACTAGCATGCCACCTGCTGGTTCCCCCCTATTATTGCTCACGGTCCCCTGAGGAGCAGTGCGTCTGCATTCCCTAACACCGAGGTTGTCCTGAACTCATGATTGTGAGAAGAGTCAGCTGTCGGGGTCTTCAACAAGCCCATGCATATCATGAGCAAACCATGCATGGGTTTCAAAAATGCTTTGCACCTGCACCGGTAAGGTGGTTATGATGCTAGACTCCCAGATGACTGGCCATGGTTTGAGTCCTGGGCCTGGCCATGCTTTTTTTTTTTTTTTTTTTTTTTGCTGCAGGGCATACAAACTCACCAGAGAGAAGCAGCGAGAGAGAAAGAGAGAGAGTAAGCCACCAGGTCAGGGACTTGAACTGTGGTCGACCATGTGGGAGCCCAGGGCCTTAACCACCATGCCACCTTTTGGTCCCCATTCAATAAATAATTTAAAAACAAACAAACGAAACAAAAATACTTTGCATCAAAATAAACTCGTGAGATTTATAAGCCACAGAACACAAGGGCTTACCCCAGCCAGCAGATGAGAAAACCGAGACACAGAAAGGAAACGGCCCCCCGGGTCACGTCCTGGCAGGAAGGAGCAGGGCTGAGATTCCAACCCGCAGGTCCCACCCCACCGGCCACATTTCCTTCTTTTTTCTTTTTTCAGTATTTAATTTTATTTGTTATTAGTATTGTTCTTTTTAATTTGACCAGAGAGACAAGGAGAGAAAGGGAAAGTGAGAAAGCAAGCTGCCGGGTCCAAGGACTCCAACGGGGTCTGAGGCCGCATTTTCACCGAGCACTGCGCAGCCTCCTTCCTGTGCATGCTCCCTGGCCCTCCTGGCTGCCACCTCGCTCCCCACCCGCAAGCTCCCTCTCTATTCTGCCCAGCTCCCCCTCACTCCTCTCTCTTTCTCCCCCATCTGTAGACCCACCTCCGCAGTGGCCCGAGGAGACTTCTGCCCAGGGCTTCCGACAGCTGCTGGAGCTGAACCTGCTGGGCATGTACACCTTGACCAAGGTGAGCCAGGGCATCCTCCAGGCTCCAGTGGCCTGTCCATGGGCTTGGTAGAGCCATTTGTCTAAGAGCAAAATATTGTCTATTCTTTGGTTTGATCTCGTGCTTTACAAAACCCCTGTTCTTGGAACCAGCAGTTAGCGTAATGACTATGTCGCTAGACTCCCATGTAGTCGACCGTGGTTCACGTCCCAGACCTGGTGGCTTATAACTCACACCGGGCGCATGTGAATGTGTGCCCAAGATCCCGAGGGGGGAAAGGAGGAGAAGGGATTGCAGCATGGCCTTCCCCCCTAGGGGGGATTTCTCGCTTTCTGTCTCTCTGTCTCTCTGTCTGGCGAGCGCACAAGCCCTATAGCAAAAACCCCTCCCCCCAAAAAAAAATACCCTGTTCTTTGTAGAAAATAGGCAGTGTGCAGGTATCTGCATCTCGTCCCGTGGACGCCACTCCTGCAGCTGGAGGGCAGCCTTCCTGGGAAACTCTGTGCTGGGGCCGCAGGGGTGCTGTAGCCAACAGGGTGGGGTGGACCTGGAAACCAGGAGGCAGGAGGATCCTTAGTTCAAGGCCAGCCTGGACAACAATGTCAAGATCCTGTCTTAAAAATAATGTTAGGGCCAGCAGGTGGCGCAGTTGAGGCTCTGGACTCCCATGTTTCCTGCCGTGGTTTCAGTCCTGGACCAGGAGGCTTGGTTTTTCACTTCTCTCTCTTTTTCTCTCTGGTGAGCACACATGCCCTGTAGCAAATTAAAAAAACAATGATAATGAATAAAATTAAATAAATAATTCTTTTCTTTTTTTAAGAGTTATTTTATTTAATTTCTATGTATTATTTATTTGGAGAGGTTCTTGCTATAGGGCATGTCCGCTTGCCAGAGAGACAGAGACAGACAGAGATAGAAAAGACAGAGATAGAAAGCGAGAAATCACTCCCCGGGGGGATGGCCATGCCGCAATCCCTTCTCCATTCTCCTTTTGGGGTCTTGGGCATGCACGCACACGCGCCTGGTGTAAGCTTAAGCCACCTGGTCCAGGACTTGAACCGCAGTTGACTACATGGGTGTCCAGCGTCATAGCCATTACACCAACTGCTGGTCCCAGTATTTACTTATTTTAATTTTACTAGAGAGGGGCAGAGTGAGAGAGAGAGAAAGTGAAAAAGTAAGCCACTAGGTCTGGGAATCAAACCATGGTCAACCATGTAGGAGTCCAGCACCCCTAGCCACCACGCCACCTGTGGGCCCCTAAATAAATAATTCTTTAAAAAGCGTTCATATGCATATATTTCAGGCCTGGCCCATAGTGCAGTGGTTAAGGACTGGGCATAGGGAACAAAAAGGAACTGGGTCCCACATGGCTGACTGTGGTTTGAGTCCCAGTCCCAGCAACTTGAAGGAAAAGCGAGAGCGAGAGCGAGAGCAAGCTCCCCTCAGTGGGCCTGTGAGTCCTGGTGAAATGGAGAGGGGGAAAGGGATTGCAAGGTAACTGTGCCCCCTGGGGTTCGCTCTCTCTCCCTGTAAGTGCACAGGTTCTGGTGCCGCAGTAATATGCTGCTCACAAGAAGCTGAATCCCACACAGCGACTGTGGTTCGAATACCGGCCCGGTCAGCCTGGCCGCCAGGCCTGCTCCGGGTGCCCAGGGCGCGATGGGCTGGACACTGAGGAAGGGGATCCAGTGTGACCAGACCTGCGGGGGTGCTTCTCTCTCGCATGCTCGCTCGCTCTCATATAGGCACATGCTCTATTTAAAGACATTTTTTAAAATGTGTTTTAAGAACAGAGTGGGGCGGGGAGTGTGTTGGAGGACCCAGGAGTCAGTTATGGGCGGTCACGGCTTTCCCACCCAGGGCTCGGCTCCTAGATCAAAGAACGTGTCCTCCTGGTCCAGGGCCTAGAGCACTGAGGGATTCTGGGAGGCAGAGAAGGCTGGGGGAAAGGCCCAGGAGGAGACCCGAGGAGGCCCGGAGCAGGCAGAAGGATCTGGCCGAGGGTGATCAGGGAGGGAGGCCAGCACCAAGACCTGTAGTCCCAGCAAGGCCCACGTGCTGGTTCTGCCCCCCAACCCCGGGGTCACACCCAGGGCTCAGACCCCTGAGGTCCGTGGCTGGGGGAGCCAGGGCCTAGGGCGTGGACCTCCTCAGGGATGGGTGCTGCTTCAGGTTCTCTGCCCACGCTGTGCCCTCCACTCGGAACGCCCTTTCTTGGAATCCCCCGAGAGCTGGATCCTCACCCCCCCATAGTTGGTCCTTCCTCCCACAGCTGGTCCTCCCCCCACAGCTGGGCCTCACCCCCCCACAGCTGGTC